CAACTTTAATTGCATGTTGTTCCTTTCCAATTCAGTCAAGGAGAAACCAGAGAGAGTTTAACCACGCTGGGAACAAGCACAACAGGCCACACAGCACGACAAACTCAACCCGAAGCCCTGGGATTGCTAAAACTGCCCGAGGTAATAAACTCAATGTATTTTTCTGCTTTGTTTACTACAAAAAAACACAGGGATAAGTGTTAGAATGTTAAGTATGTATATGACAAATTGCTAAATATGAAAATCTAAGTGAATGTTAAATATCTTAATGTTGAGGCAAAGCTGAATATCTAGTGTCACATACAAAAACATTAAGCACAAATACATTAAATTAAAATTATACAAAAATGTTGACTTGTTAAATTAAAAATGGAAAAAGTTAATTAAATACAAATAAGCTGACTAAATTACAAAAACTATTTGTTAAAATGCAAATGAGTTAAATATAAAAACATTAAGTTAAATCGGAAAGCTAATTTAAATGTAAATAATTGTAATTAAATACATAAACATTCAAATATGATCACTAAGCACGACTACATTGAAAATGCGGAGTTCTTCAATTAAATATGAAAATGTTAAATAAATGTAAAAATGGAAATGTTAAATTAAATACAAATAAGCTGATTTAAATACTAAGGTTAATTAAATACAAATAAGCTGACTAAATTACAAAAACTATTTGTTAAAATGCAAATGAGTTAAATATAAAAACATTAAGTTAAATCGGAAAGCTAATTTAAATGTAAATAATTGTAATTAAATACATAAACATTCAAATATGATCACTAAGCACGACTACATTGAAAATGCGGAGTTCTTCAATTAAATATGAAAATGTTAAATAAATGTAAAAATGGAAATGTTAAATTAAATACAAATAAGCTGATTTAAATACTAAGAAAATAGTTAAATATGAATTATATTGAATTACATACAATATTTGTTAATAAAAAGAAATAGGTTGAGTTAATAGTTACATTTAAAGGAGTTAAATAAGACAAAAAAAATTCAAACATTTTAAGTTAAGGTTAAATATGTAAACATTAAGTTAAAAATAAAAACAATCTGTTATATATGACTAAGTTGAGCAAAATAGGAACACGAGTTAAAAACGCTGAGTTAAATATAAATACATGAAGTAAAAAAATGACGACAACACTACATTTTAAAGGCAGTAATTTGAACATATGAAAACATTAAGTGAAATAAAAATGAGTTGAGTTAAATATAAATGCCATAAGTTAAATATGGACATCTAGGTTAAATATGAACTCCAAATCCGAAGTTTATTATGCTTAAAATACACCTCAGGATTTAAAAAGAAGGTACCGACTGTGTATCAGCACTGGCGTGTGTTTGTGCGGGCATGCATGGGCCGATGCCCGTGTCTGTGCCAGCTGTAGTTACTGTAGCTGGCAGGACGTTAATGAGGAGGTCCTGAGGAGGGATGAGAGCAGAGTCTGGGCTGGAAAAGAAAAAGAAGCGGATTAAAATTTCAGCACAACACAGAGCCCTAAGAGAGAGAGAGAGAACAAGATAGATGGCTGGGACGACAGACACCTCGCGGGCCTGTGAGAAAGACGGACATTCCACCGTGAACACGTCTGGGAGGGGAGAGATAGTGGGGGAGGGGAAAAGATAGAGAGAGAGAAAGGGAGAGAGAGGTCACATACAAACAGCGAAGCGAATTGAAGCATTCCATTATTACGCTCGACTGAACCCTGCTCCTCTTTTCACCCTGAACCCAAGACACACACACACCAAATACACACTCTCTTTGCAGCTGATACCATCCTTCCTTCAGACTGAACTAAAAAAGAGAAAGAGGAAGGGGAGGGTGAGACGACAGGAAGGGATATGAGAGACAAAAATAGGAATGATGTTACTGGACTGACTAGTTAAAGACAAACTGAATGTTAAAAGGGTGAAAACTGGATAAAAAAAAACAAGCAGTAACTCTCCTATCCATCAAAAAAACATGACAAATTGAGATTTCAATGACTTATATTAGTTTTCTCCACCCACACGGCCTAGATTACATCAGCAGATAAACACTTTATCTTTATCTTAAGTCACTTTAAAGACTAAAAAAGTTGTAAGGTTTAGATGGAAAAGCTATGAAATCACACTTTTTTTTTTTTTTGCAATAGCATGCACTGAATTGTTATTCCATTTTATTTGATGCAGTCTTTCAATAAGCACGACTGCAAACTGCAAACATCTCCACGGTTCATATGGGTGATGATCGATCAACGTTATGGATTTTGTGTCCATACCTGCTGAACACCCAGAGCTAACCGCCCGCATCAAAGGCAGAACAACTGCCCGCCGAGGGACTTCCTTTCTCATTCGCTTATTACTGGAGCACTGTGGAGCATGACACATTCTTATGTTTATTTAACTACGCAAAACTCGCACACGGACGTCTCAGCACAGCTTCCCGTTGAGATCCACCTACTATCACTGTGGATGAACTGAGTTAACAGAGCATGTAAAAACCCTGAGGCCAGGAAAGGGCTCTTAGATGGGGGGCGGGATTCCTTTATCCCCTACCAAAGACACATGCACAGAATCACGTAACCTCATTAAGTCAACAATCACAACAACAAGACAACGACGAAGCCTTGGATTATAGACTTTACAGACTTAAGCAAAATCAGATATGTAAAGCACAAATCTAAATACAGCATATAGACCAAAAAACACTGCCACCTACTAGTAGCAAAACGCTTAAAATATTGATGAAATGATGGCATTTAATATATAGCTTTAAATTGACATCTATGTATTTGCTCTGAAATGGCTTAAAAGGGTAATGTTAATTAATAATAAAGATAATATTTTTAAAATAATTGAACAAATTATATTAAGTGATTCTCTATATAACAGTGCATAATCATGAAAATATTACATACACACACATTAAATTACATAGAAATTTGTTCTGAAACTACTTAAAAGATTTTTTAAAAGTTATATAGATACACAAACGAACACAATATGCAAAAAATGGCACTTTTTGGATCAGGCACTTAAATATTGGATTTTATGTATTATAGTATGAAATCAATTATAATTTTATTATATGATATTTAATATGCATGGAAATACTGTTTTTTATGGATTTTTATGCATTGTTATATAGAAAACCACTTAATTTATTTTCTTGTGTTCAATTATTCAATTACACACACACACACACACACACACACACAAAGAATAGACAATACATTATAAATAACAATACAGTAATAAAAATATAGAGAAAAGAAAATGGCAATATACTCTCCTTCATGCAAATAAAGTGATGAGAATGGCTTCCAAAATGCCTTTAAAATACAATAAACAGCACATTAAATTCACTGTGACACCAACAATGTTGTTTCATTTTATATCGGCAGCAAAATCATAACCAATGATTTTGCAAATAATAATGCCACTTAACATCTTACAAGTTATCAAGCTAATGCTAATAAAAGAAAGCTGAGGCACCAGGATGAGAAGCAGGTAAGAAATCTAATGGAGTGGAAACGTTTTACCTGCCACAATCTCTGTAAAAGTCCCCAGGAG